AGAAAGAAAGAAACCACTCAGAAAAGCTGTTAGGATTTTTTTTAAAAAAACTCTAAACAGTCTAGACATTCTGTTTATAGAACAGTTACACCAAAGCTGCTACAGTCTGAAGGGTCAGACATTTTTTGAACCAGTGCCCCATTTATTCATTTCCTAAGCAGCTGCTGTTACTAACAGGATCTCTCAGCATCACAACAGTTTCCACCTATGATACACCACATATACCACTGTTCTGCTCAGACCAAAATACAGCAAAATACCCAAGCAGCACAGCCAGCTATCAGCATACAGACAGGTCCTACTCTAAGTGTACTCTTAACTGCAGAAAAGCAAGACAAAAGAGCACTGAGAATGGGAAGCAAACAGGTTTAAAAGACAGAGAAGTTGAGTACAGCTAAAAGGAAATGTCTATATTCTTAAAGGCTGTGGGGTGGCATCAGTACTTCCCATGGAGTACTTTGGAAATCACTACATAGCTGAAGAAATAAAGGCAGGGTTAAAGCAGGGGCCTGCTCGAGGTGCTCAGACATCAGAGGTTCTAGGTTTTGGAATGTTAGATTCAATGTTAAAGATGGCTAAAAGATGCATTTTGAAAGCAGTAGCGTAGTTTTAGTTTAAGGACCACAACAGCATGTATTCAGGGCTTAGTTTATGTAAATAATGAGCTTGCGTAAGGCAAGCAAGTTCCTTTCTAGAAAAAACATACTGTTACATCCAAAGATAATTAAGGTTACAGTGTGAGAGTACGCAGCAGTATTTTTTTTACTGAGTGAAATTTAATAAAGCTATACTCCATCCCATAATTTTCACTGTTATTCTATCTCAAGTGCTGCTTTTGAGACAATTACTGCTCAGCTTTACAATTTTTAATTTATGAAAATAAACTTGAAAGGCAAGTTTAATCTTGCAACAATGCCAGGCCACTCCAACCACAACTCTCAGTGATCTATAACCAACTGGACAAAGCACAAAAATTAATTCATATTGTCTTGAAACTTTTAATTAACTCTGGTCAAGCAAGTTCTTACGAGTACGTCAAATACTTAAGGCTAATTTAACAGACACTGTAGTAAAAGCCCACACAAAGTGAACCTGAAGAGCCAAATACAGTACACATCACCGTGACTGGCAGTAGAAACTGCAAATGATGGAAACAAAGACTTGTAACAGATAAAATGGAAAGCCTCAGCCCCTGAATAGCTGTCAGATTTTTTTTCTTTTTTGTTATACCAATTAAAATGCTAAAAGGTATCCAAAACAGCAACTGAAGCTCTGAGGGAAGGAGGACTGGCTGACACCCACTGACAACTCATCTGGTGCTAACCCAAAATCCCAATTTAAGCTGTATTTTCAATCTCAGAAAATGTAACATCTTTGTCACCTTCTGTAAAGATGTACATGTTATCCAATATCTCTAGCAGAGAGCAAACTCAGTATCTGCAACAATAAAACACTCCCAAAAGTTGCATTACATCCTTGCCTACAAAGCAATGACAGATATTAACTCTAGCTAAGCGTTGGCTTTGACCTACATTTATCATTTATACAGAAAAAAAGCCTTTCATCTGACAATCATTCAAGCTTTCTTTCCAAACACCACCTATCTATGTTGAGGTCACTGAGAACCCAAAGCATTAAGTGCTCCTAAATGCTCGCTTAAGCCTTACATATAACATACAAATACTGAAACTCTGGACTGCACTGAATGTTCGAATTTGAAACATCAGTTTAAAGTTAAACTGCTTCCTGCAACATTCAATCTGCCTTAGGTATGACTTCTCACTATTGTACTACTCTACTCCTTCAGTTCCTCAGAATGTAGTAGACTTGCAGCAGTGCAAGAGATCTCAATTTAAAGCTGCTCTTCAAGCAATGATAAAATGTTAAACAGTTTAAGGTCAATATTCCAGCAGTGTGACTTGCTCACCAAGTAAGTATAACCTACTCTACCTAACAATTATGAATTTTAATTAACCATGGCATGTGCCTTTTCCAGTAAAAGGACTGCTAAAAACCAACTTCATCTTCGAAAGTTGACTGAAGCCCATTCTACCTTTTATCTTTTCATCTTTGTGGGAATGATTTTTACAATGAATTTCAGATCAGAAATCTTGAGAACATGCACTACTTTTTATTTTCTTGTTAAAATACCAAGTGCTTGAATTACGTATAGCCCCCAGTCTACACAGCCTCTTCAGCTATCATTTCAAGACCTGTACGTTATCTGTAATATTTGGATGTCTTTAAGTGTCATCAGACCTGTGACAATGAAGGGTCTAAATGGTCTCGTTAAGTGCTTAAAATAGCGTACTACAAAAAAAGAAGAGTCAAAGCCATATATTTAGCCTGAAAGAAGTCAGCTGATAAGTATAACCAGTCCAGCTTTATATGTGGCAGTCAGCAAGTGACAGCTACAGCACAGTGTTTCTATTCCAGGGGCAAACTAAGGCATCAGCTTGTGCAACCTTTAAGAAGTTTAATCATTTGCATTCTCACCAGTCACATGAAGGATGGGACTACTAAATACGAAGCCCACAGGGCCCGGGATAAGACCAGTATTGAAATCATTCCGGAGGAGATGAGATCCGGGCCGGATGCCTCACGCCAAGCCCCCGGCCAGCGCAGAGCCCCTTCCCGGCGGCAGGCAGGGCGCCGGCTTTGCCGCGGCTCCCGCGGGAGCAGGGCCGCAGGTTGAGGGGCCACGGGGCCCGGGCCGCGCTGCCCTCGGCGGAACAGGC